GTTCACTAGTGACAGAGGAGAAATAAATTGACCGTTGCAGAAGTGAATCCAGAAATAAATTGACAGTGATAGAAGTGAAATAAATGGCGCAGTGAATAGTGATATATCAACAGTAGTGTAAATAAAGAGAATAATTCATAAACTAAGTTTAGTAATAATTTAATAGTGTTTTTAAGTTCTTCAATAATTAGTGTAAATAATTAGTTTTTGTCGTTATCAGTACTAGAAGTTAATTTTGTTAAACCCATCAACACTAGAATATAATTTTTGGGTGATTAGTAGGCCTGTTTGTGGGTAATACTTCTCCCAAAAACGAATTAAAGTATTTACTTGTGTCGATATATTTATTACTCAGTTTTATGTGATATAAACTGTCGGTTCAGGAAATACAAATTTAGGTGCGACTAGTATTAATTAACTTGTACTTTCAAAGACTAAATTAAAAACTAATTTATTACTTTTATACTGTAACACTGATGTTTATCGGCACAATTCGGTTTATACTGCATTTATTCGAACTGAATTGACATATTGATTGAATAATCTAATAGACTTTCAATTTATAAGTTGACTTTTATTAAGTTCACATTTTCGTATGAAATATGTACGTAATTCTTGATTTAATAACTTTTTTGTCTTTTAATCAAAGGTCAAGGGTTTTTTGTCTCAGTAAGTACAAAATGCAGGAATAAATAATGCATATGTTCACATTTTCCTTACAGTTGTTGGATAATGACCAAAAAAATTGTTTCAAAAAAGTCCAAGATCACGCATACTTTGATTAATAGCTTTCTTAAGCTTCTATCGTATTAAAAATATCAAGTTGCAGATTAGTAAAACTATACAAAACAAAAAGTATGCATTAGTCAAATTTAACGGCGTCAGAAATGAAACTTTGTATGGCATTTAATGAATCTCACTATTCTTAAGCGAATAACATAAAACTACGATTATATAAAGATAGGAGACGAAAAATTAGAAGAAGTGGCTGATTTTAGGTATCTAGGAAGCCAGATAAGTCAGGACGGAAGGAGTAGTAGGGATATACATCAGACGATAGCGCAGGGTCTAGACGCCTTCAATAAAAAGAAGTCACTTCCATGCTCGCGAACGATTAATTTAGGAATTCGAAAAAGATTGTTAAAGGTGTATCTTTGGAGCGCGGTGCTGTACGGGTGCGAAACATGGGCGCAGCGAAAAAGAAAAGGTTCGAAATGTGATGTTACAGGCGAATGATGAGGATATTATAGACGGAGAATGTTAGAAATGAAGAGGTATTACAATGAATAGGAGAACAGAGGACTCAATGGAAGTAAATAAGAAATAGGCGAGATAGGTTGGTAGGACACCTTCTCAGGCATGAAGTTCTAGTCAGAGACATAGAGGCGGAAACAGGAGTTAGGAGGAGTAGAGGTAGACCTAGATTACTGATTACTGTTCGCAAATAGTTAAGGATGTGGTATGTTCTAGTTGTAGGGAAATGCGAAGATCCCCGACTAGAAATTATGATCGTGGACCCGACAGGGTATAACCTTGATTCATACAAGGTCTTGAGAAGGACCACCCTACGTGGATATGAATAGGACCGTTGCGCTTTTTTTTAAGAAGTACCTGATAAGGAAATAAAAATTAAGACTTAATAGGGAAATTCAAAGAACCCTACCAAAACATGATTGCAAATTTATTATTAAAATAGGCCAGTTTTAAGACAACCATAGATTTATTGATCGTATAACAAAACTGGTAAAATTGTAATTGACATTTAGAAAGAAGGAAAATCCATTTTTTCTTGGATAGTCATCTGATGATATTTAAATTCTGGCCAATCAAGTTTATCCACACTCAATCCTGATCAGAATTTAATTATATTTACCCTGTAAAGCATGAAATGATCTAATCCTGATAAGATCCTAGCGTGAAAAACTTCATTTCATCAACTTTTTATTTTGATAGGATAAACTGTGGACATCCTCATTTGGACCTGACATGTATATTCTTATTTTGGTTATCTTTATTCAATCGTCATTAGAACCTTACTGGACAGCCTTATTAGATTCTCACATATATCGGGCTAACCTGCTTCTAATTTTTAGTCGGGTTAGCTCACGATAGGAAAGAGTGGAGGTATGTGTCCAACCAGTCTTAGGACTGACGACCTTATGATAATGAAGACTACCACTACAGTTACAAAGACTAATGAAGTGAGAGTAAGGCCTAGCGGTGTCTTCTCCTTGAGTGGATCATAATTTTTCAGTTTTTCTCAAATTTTGTTTGCTCGACAAATTAACTGTCAATCTCAAAGCATAGTGCCCCATGAAAAGTTTCACTTCAGAAGAAATAGAAAGTGAAACTTTTTGTATTTTTGTATTCAAATTAAGTACTCTATACTTTTTCGCCAATATCGTTTAATACTCAATAAAAATACTCAAAATTTAATAATAAACTTACCATCGGCATATTGAGGTCTTAAAAGTCTAAGGAATGGAGCCCCTCGACTTCCCCATTTTGCATGTCGAATGTTATTGCATTCGCCTGTCGGCCTCCTGTATTTGTTGGGCGGACACGGTATAATATCGCTGAATTTACACGAAGGTTTCGTCCACTCGCCGCCTTCAGCAATCTGTGCCTCGGCACGTAAAGCTGTCGATGCGCTCACTCTCAGTTCGGAAGGAAGAAGAGATACATATTCTGATATGTTGTATCTAAACCTCGAAATATTGGATTGAGCAAAAGATGTACTGAGGTAGTATACGGTAACTAATAAGAACCTGAAACAAAAAGAAAATAATTAAAGGACCAGTTGAGAACAGAATTATAGTGTAATCGATACACTTTATGTATAATATTAGGTACTGATTTCAAAAGAAATGTCAAATCGGGAACAGTCGTCATAGTTTCTTATTAATTTCTGGATAATTATATCTAATCTATAAAACAAGAAAATTAAGTAAACGTTTAGTAGTCCGAAAATCAAGGGTAAGTCCGGCCCTGGTGGGATCACACAGGGAAATAGGACATTACAACGCTGCATTCATCAACTGCAGCATCTGTGTTGTACGAATATTTCTTTTGTATTTTGTACTCTTAATAATGTCTGTCGAGGTGTACTTTAGATAATATTGTATACTCCACTATCAGCGATGAACAAAGTGGTTATTTAATTAATTGTTATCACAGTTGGCGTCTAAATATTAATATGTGTAGTAGCTGTTAATATTTACTTCCACAACCGTCACTGTTTACATTTTTCATCGATGTATCTACTTAGTTGTTATCGTAAGTTCTCTGTACGTTGCCAATTCACGCCCAGGGTCGGCTTCGGATTGCAACCTCTTCAAGTTCTCTTACAACTTATTTCAGAAACATCTTGTATTTCTGATGAAGCCAAGTAAGACCAATCAATTATTAAGTATAATTAACATGCACTAAGATGTCATTTGATGCTGAGTATGGTCGTATGTCCGCAGTTAAGCAAGAACTATGACAATAAAACTCATCAGAAACCCCTTTGGGTTCGCTCATAACACCGATTGTAAATGTTCACGAGAAATTATAACATACTTTCACTGTAAATTGAAAAATTACCCTGGCCGTGATCTTTCTGGCTGATACCACCGTAACCGAGGCGATTAACGATATATTTGGTAGTCTATAATTATTTACGGCTGGATCTATTGTCTAAAATTGGCGACGCGGTGTTTATTTTTAAGGCACGACAATTTAGTCTTTTAATATTTTTCCTGTTGTCTAATTTCTTTAAATTGCTGTAATGTTCTTTCTTCTAAAAGGCGATTTATCCATAACTTCCGCAATTTATTTATTTTGGACAATGGCAAACCTAGATAACTCTCAAAAATATTAATGTGAAAATTAATTTTCAATTTTCCAACCACTACAAACTACCTAAGGTTAGTGAGAGAAAATTTTTGTTGCAGTTGATCAACTGTTTTTTCACATTAATATTTCATATTAACCACTATTAATAAATAAAAATGTCAAATAATTAACATAAACAGGGAAGATCGAAATAAGATTTTAAAACTAAGAAGTTTAATCAAAAGATGCAAAACGGAAGCCAACATTGTTGTGGGATTAGTTTTTGATGTAATTTTGCATGAGAAATAAGAACAATTTAAAATCATAATTAAGTCTAAACATTCAAGAATAAGATCATGATTCAGTCTGCAGACTCAAAACCAAGTTTGTGGATTAAAACTAAACCATTAATGCGTTTATTGATTCAAGATTCTCTTGCAGATTAGATTTATCTAGACAATTTAATATCAACATTGCATGTTTCATATCAAGTGTATAAACACCAGTTAGTACCTTTGCCTTAGGTCTATTTTGGTCTAAATTTTGTATGTACACGTTTGGAAAATATCTTTACATCGATTTTGCTTATAATTTGGCAGTAGGTATCTACCTATGCACATATGATATCAAATTTATCAATATTTACTGATGCATTAGCTGATTAATGCATATGAATGCACATTCTGTATTTTAATTGCTTAAGAAGTTGTTGCTTATTCATAAATTACGGTTATTGATTATAATAGCCACGGCATCTTAACACGTTAACAACTTGACAACTGAAATAGACATAAATAAATGTGTCTAATCTACCGTTTTGTAATTAGAATCAATTAAAAGCTTTACCGTGAACTGCTGCATATCAAAGTAAAGGAAAAGAACAAGAATTGAAGCCTCACTCATTGAATAATCCTTGACCTTATAAAATAAAAATGATCGTGATTGAAGACATTGATTGTTAACAACGAATCGCATCATCATAAGGTCCTCAGTCCTAAGAGTGTTTGAACACGCACCCTATCCTGAGCTAATTTTCGCATTTCTCTAGAACTAGAAAAAAAAAGTTTTGGGTGTTTCATTCCCACCAGCCAGTAATGCTGGTGGGCGGGCAGTCCCTCCGGACTACGCCGGAAGGTAAGGCGGAAGGCCCTCTTCAGCCTGCTTTCAGGAATCGTGGGAATGAGTGGGTGGTGGTTCGGGTGAGAAAGATGAGACGGACGAAATGAAGACGGAAGAGAATGAAAGATTATCTGTGGAATATTACTGCCTCAGAGCATTTGCCCAAGTGATCCAAGGAAACCACAGCAAAACTTGGACCAAGGCAGACGGACCCGGAATCGAACTGGCGTCCTCCCGAATGCTAAGCAATGGTCTAAACCTCTAGGCCATGTCGCTCGGTTCTAAAACTAGAACATCCCACATCCTTAACTATTTGCGAGCAGTAATCTAATCCAGGTAAACCTCTATTCCTTTTAACTCTTGTTTCTGCCTCTAATATGTCTCTGACTAGCCCTTTATACCTGACAAGCAGAAGAAACCGGGCATCTTTAACTGATTTGAATTGTTCTGATTGTCCACATCTAACCTGACGCCTGGCATATGAAAATTATTAAAACAAAAAATGCAAAAAATCACGTTAATTGCATCAATTAATTGTGTTTAGATTTTTGTTACATAAAACTTTGTTTCTGTATTTGGCACTAGATGGTATTTATTTGAATGTTTTAATAAGCGACAGTTATATTTCAAAATCTTCATTTTTTTACTATATAAAACTTTAAAAACGTTAGATAAGAAAAATAGGAACTCCGAATGCGTCAATATATATTTAGTGGCCTGCCAGTCATTTTGAAATAGTCAGTTTCGCCCAACTGTTAAAAAGGTTGGACAGGATTACGGCACAGGGTTGCTTGATGTATGACATGAGCGACATGGCCTGAACCCTAGTGGTTTAGATCATTGTTTAGTAATCGAGAGAACAGTGGCTCTGCCCTAGTCCAGGTTTTTCTCTGGATTCTTTGGATCACATGGGCAAATACTGGGCCAGTAATAACATTCCACCGGTAATTTTTCGCTCTTTCCACCCATCCATTCTCATGCTTCCCTGAAGAGGGCCTTCCAGCATAATTGGAAAGGACTGCCCGCCCATCAGCATTAGCAGCTAATAGGAGTGAAATACCCCAAAAATTTTTAAAACAGTTTTGCTGTAACAGCGTCACTAAGTTGTTCGGTAAGTCCCTGCGTAGTAAGACGCTGCGCATTCGACTTGACGCGTAGACATGATTTTTTTACAATTGACAATCCTGAAATGGATGCGCAGTTGTTCATTGCGCAGCGACTCCTGTGTTTTGTATTCGTGACGTATTTTAGGCCCATTTGTTCTGGTTACGTTTTTGCCCTTATCTCTAGTCTCCTTAGTAATGAACATATAGAAATATAATATTGCGTTCGAAAGGGCTGCCAGTGATATGTCAGGAAGCAGGAGTGACAGGGAATGCTAGTGAGAGCCCCCCCATTGCATTCCTTCTGTAATTGTACAATCTCGAGTTGCAACAAAATCACTTTGTATACTTCGATGTTTTAACACATACACAGTATGTAACTAATTCTGTAAAACTGAATAATGTCAGAGGATGAGTGTCGTTAAAAAGAAAGACATCTGTACATAGGTCAGTAACTTTTTGTCACGCGACAATGGAAAACGGATGCGTGAGATGCCCGTCGAGCCTATTTACATATAATGCAAATTGCATTATATACCTTAACCTACAAACGCTGTTTAACCTTATGCAACCTACTCCATTAGCTTATTAAAAGTCTTTTTTATTTGCTTCAAGTTATGGTTGTACAGGGACAACTGCATCCTGGAAGTGCTGTGTTAGATTTATGTATTTCAAAATTTGCAAATAGAATAAAGACCGTTTTTAATCCTAATTATGGCAATACCCTGATGAAAAGAAGCTCAACAATTTTAATTAACGACATGCTGGTTAATTAAACAATAGAACAAAAAGTTAATGGTGGTCAGAGGATTCTGTCGATTTTGATCTTATTGGATCTCGTCAGCACAGTGTAGACGATTCCAACAGAATTCAGACCAACAGTATATAATGCCATTATGAATTGCTGCAACCAGCGTAGTAAACGCCATCTATAGAAAATTGCTACTATTTGTAGAATTTAGTTCGATAAGTCGAAATCCTTAGGGATCTTCTTGAAGAATATCGTTTACTACGATGTTTGATGTAATTAATGTTAGAATAAATAAAAAATTGTTCTTTATTGTTTGAGACGAAAGATTAGAAGAAGTGGCTGATTTTAGGCATCTAGGAAGTTAGATAAATCAGGACGGAAGGAGTAGTAGGGATATAAAGCAGAGGATAGCACAGGTTTGAGTCGCATTCAATAAGTCACTTTTCTGCTCGCGAACGATTGATTCGAAGAAGATTGTTAAAGGTGTATGTTTGGAGGGCCGCGCTGTACGGGTGCGAAACAAGGACGGTGGGCGCGGCGGAAAAGGAAAGGTTACAATCGTTCGAAATGTGGTGTTACAGGCGAATGAAGAGATAGAAATGAACAGATATTAGAAAAAATAGGAGAACGGAGGACTCTCTGGAAGTTAATAAGAAATAAGCGGGATAGGTTGGTAGGACACCTTCTCAGGCATGAAGTTCTAGTCAGAGACATAGAGGCGGAAACAGGAGTTAGGAGGAGTAGAGGTAGACCTAGATTAGATTACTGTTCGCAAATAGTTAAAGATGTGGGATGTTATAGTTTTAGGGAAATGTGAAGATTAGCTCAGGATAAGAAGGAGAAGAAAATACTGATGGAATGGTTTCATTTTTCAAAAGAAAATTTTAATTTTATTTGTTTGATAGATATTTTGTATGGATATAGAGAAGGAGGTAAATGGAAATGTATTATTGTATAGCAACTGTCCACGCGGACGCAT